ATCCAAATGCAGGTTTCACCATAGATAGATCAGGCCTTACTCTGCCCTGAGTGTAGAATAGAGGTGGACAACCTTACTCACGGTCTGTGCTCATGCAGAAAATACAACAGTGTTGTTCATAAAGTGTGAACTGGATCAGATCTCTGCTGCCGCTGAACCGTCGTGTTTCCTGCTCAGAAAGACAAAAGCAGCTTTACAGGCTGTTAACATCTTTGCAAGTGAGTCCTTTTGATCTGGATCAAAACATACAGTCCATGACAGTGGACTGTACTGGAATATGTGTCATTGGATTACCTAACATGCGAGTTACATAGTGTGGATAATGTGTTTGATAAAATATGGGAGCCTTCATGTTGTTTGGATATTTCAGCTATTGTCACACAGGCGCTGGTTTAACGTATGGATGTGTAGCTAATCTATTAAAGTTAATATCTTAAGCCTACATGTCTCCACAGTTGGGTCTTTTTGAGCGACCAAAGACTCAAAGCTGTGCAGGACGAACAACCCAAGAGCTTCACGGGCTCATTCTGTAGACAAGCGTCAGAAACTCTGCTGCCTTCTCTGGGTCTCTCCTCTGATTTCAAATTCTCGTTGTTAATGGTGTGTTTGCAGACCAGAGGCTCCATCCCCTTCTACTGGTCCCAAAGGCCTAATCTCAGGTACAAACCAAAACCACAGATCAGCAAAACAGTCAACCATGTAAGTTCTTTACATGCAGATTCAAGTGAAACAACAAATACCTGTTGTTTATCTTCATTTCTGAAATCGTCCTGTTTTTGTCGTAGCTGGATGGATTCCAGAGACACTTTGACTCCCAGATCATCCTCTATGGAAGACAAGTCACTTTGAACTTGGTAAGAAAAATCCGTTAGATAATTGCTACCTAGCTACTAGGGGTGCAACGATACACAAAATTCACGGTTCAGTTAGATACTTTGGGGTCGCGGTTCGATATTTTTTCAATACAAAAAAATGTTCATGCTGTTTTAATTTGTCATTTATTAAAATTATAAATATATATTTTAACTCAAAAGTACAGTTTTTAAATTTAATGTTGCTGAAACAACAAAGTAATAAAAATAAATCTATCTGAT